ACCGTGCCCAGCCTGATCAAAATATTTAAAAATTTGGAATTCCTAGCAACAATATGATATTAACAACGATATGCATATATGATTAAATACACATGTAGGAAAAATAATCCACAGCACCCAAAACTAAAAACGAAAAAATAAAACCTGAGAAGTCAACCACTGCTTACTTTTGAGAAACCAATGAAGGGTAAAAAGAGCTAATATTTTAAAACCAAAAAAAACTTTTGCAGTGACACTAAGATCAAGCTATAGTTTCTTTTCCTCTTTTTAAAAAGATTTATTTCTGTCTGACCAAGTGAAATTGATGTAATTGCAAATTAGAGCCCCCATGCAATTATTTTGCCAATCAATTTATATTTCTATATAATAAGGCTGACAGTTACTTTTAAAGGAAACATTATGAAATATTCTTCAATGAAGTAAAGAATTATTTAACAGATAAATATTCTTAATGGGCCTCTCTTACGGTTTTCAATAAGCTGTGCACTTGATTAACCCCACAAGCCTGTCTGGCACAATCGTAATTTCTACAAATGAGACAGAAAGGAGGGATCATAAAGAATGAATTAATCACCGAACAAGCTGCACTTCAGTCACACGAGAGCTCATGATTCATATGAGTAAAGTTGAGGAATGAGCTACGACCGCCATAAAACACAGCCACGTCTTCAAGGATCCTGCAGGGTGATTGCTCCAGCGGCCTCTGGCTGACGGCACTGCAGACACTGGCCTGAGTGCAGGGCAGTCCACTACAGGGCGGGCTGCAGCCTTAGACAAGCTTGATCCTCTATTCTTCAGGTTCTCAAAACCCTCCTGGAGTCCAAGCTCAGGAGTTAGAGTTTATGGTACCATTAAACTCTTTTTTTTTTAGCCAGAGTCTCGCTCGGTCACCCAGGCTGGAGTACAGTGGCACAATCTCAGCTCACTGCATCTTCCGCCTCCCAGGTTCAAGCAATTCTCCTGCCTCAGCCTCCCAAGTAGCTGGGATTACAGACATGCACCACCATGTCCAGCTGATTTTTGTATTTTTAGTCGAGACAGCATTTTACCATGTTGGCCAAGCTGGTCTTAAACTCCTGATTTCATGATCCGCCTGCCTTGGCCTCCCAAAGTACTGGGATTACAGGCGTGTGTCACTGTACCCGGCCCCCACTAAACTCTTAAGGTAACGATGACAATATCTGAGGTGCTCAAACTCTTTCTACTCCACTATCTGATGAAATCATGGCACAGATTCATGTCACTGGGTTTCACCACCCGGTCTCTCACCAGTTGCTATGACCTACCTCTACAAGACTGGTGAAAATACATTAAATATGACTCCTTGGCTTCCCGGCTGTGTGGTTTTGGCATGTTGTTGAATTTCTTTTAGCCACAGCTTTCCCATCTGGAAAATGGGAATAGCAATACCAGCTTCACAGGGTTGTGGTTCAGATGAGAGGAGACTGTGCAGCATCACGCCTGGCGCAGGGCACTCCGGCGCAGTGCCCAGCTCACAGTCGGTGCTCAGCTCCTGCCACCCCCCAGACTGAGGCAGGACTTCAGCACCTGGACCAGTCTTGCTCTCGTCTCCACCCCCACAGCCTCCTGCATGGGCCAGCACCCACCAGACAACCCATCCAATGCCCTTCTCTGCAAATTCCCTACATTCTTCCGTTTCCAGTGAATTCAGTCTCTACACAATGACCACTCCGATGACTCTCCATTTCCGAAATCTTAATCCAGCATCATTCTTCAGGACCACGAGCTCCTAACCTTGAAGCCCAGAGCCTCTAGTCCTCAGACACCTCCATTCTTCCCAATCTTTCGTCTCCCTCTGCTCCCCGCCCTACTTGGAGTTTGTGGTCAATCATGTTAGCAACAGAGAACCCCGTCTACATCTGCCCCCATTACACCTGATCCATCCACCATCACACTTGCCTGGCAAAATCTGAGCTCCAACCCCTAAGAAAGCCTCTGCCTTCTTCCCTCCTGCATTTGGGTTACACGGAAGTGGAAACTCAACAGGAGAGAGTCCGCCAACCACCTGCAGCTGGTCAGTGCAAGCACTGGGTGCCTTCTGTGTTTCCCCCTCCTCTGTGAGGGATGCGGTTACCTCCCCCTCCTCAGCAGCCCTGATAGGGTCCCTTTCTACCACTCCCACTTCAGTAGCCTCCATCTCTCTAGCTGCGATTTCTCCCCAACCCTCGCCAGTTGCAGAAAGAAACTCATAAGCTTCATGTTCCTTAATCCCATCTTGGATTAAAAGTTCATAAAACTGAAGCTAAAGCCCTCAGGAGCAGCTGATGAATATCCCCAAAGAAGTGAGAGGCTGTTCCCACAGGGGTTTTGTGCTGAAAAGAGCAGCTCTAAGCCAGCAATCATCTTGTGAGAAAGGTAACGTTTGCCAAATATTCACACACTATTTGCCAGATTTTTTAAACTTAAGGCCATTTGTTTAATATTCTCACCATCGTAAAGCTGAGTTTACGTCTAAATCTGTTAAACACGGGAAAGCAACTTCCTGCACTTTTTGAGGTCTCACGCTGTAGCCCAGGCTGGAGTGTGTGGCATGACCCTGGCTCCTGAGGCCTTGAACTCCCGTGCTCAATGGATTCTTCCACCTCCGCCTCCCCAGTAGCAGGACTACGGGTACTCGTCACCACACCTGGCTTCTGCACTACTGAAAGTTTTGTTTTAATAGTCCTAAAGACTGTAGACTTGTAATTTTAGAATTTAACGAGTATATCTGGTGAAATGTTTTTATAAAGAACTGCTCACTTGAAGTTGTAATTTTGTCATGGGAGGTCAACTCTACCCATTAACTCTAGCAATGCTTAACTCATTTCTATGTTATGATCTAGAGCAAATTCAATCAACCTGAAAAAAAGGTACGTGCAGATTTTATCAAAATTACTAACTTAACTGTCAACTTTTTTCTTCCTTATAAAGTGACTGATGTACACTGCAGAATCACAGTTCATTTCTATATAAGGTATCTGCCAGGCTTGTTGAATAAACAAAAAATTGTAACTCACCTCTATTAACAGCAAAAGGACCATTGCAATTCTCCTGCAGATGAGCAAACAGAAATTAGGATCTCATTTGCTTAAGGAACAGCCAGAATTCATACTCAGATCTTCCTAAGTCAAAAACCCTTCCTTCTGCTCACTGCCTTTCGGATCCAGCTACACTGGCATGGCCTAAGGGGTTTAAAAACAAAAAACAAAAACTGAATGCTGTCCCTGGGGCCCCTATTCTGATCCTCTTAATTGGGATGGATCTTGGCCAAGGTTGGGAAACACAGCACCATACCTGTCACATTCTAATGGATCATTCTATCCTGTCAATGTAGGTTTAAAACAAAATGTTCCCCTACAGTACTTTAAGCTGACAAGCTGAAGTACAGTCTCCAAGATACCTTCTTCCAAACAAGGAACATGCAAGCTTTGGGTGTCCTGTGGTGGAAGGACAGGTTATCCAGCTCTAGCTTAGCTGGCTGGCGCAGCACTGACATGCAGAGTGGTGTTATTCCCGGGATTTGGAGAAGGCGCAACAAAGCACCTGCCAGTGCACAAACGCAGAGCAGAGGCAGAATGGCAGCGCCCACTGTGAGATGTATGCAAAGCATGCTGAAATGAGTGGGGTGGGGTGGAGGTGGGAGTATCAGGTGGGTCCCTGAATAACACAGACCTAAGAGGAAAAGGGTGTTAGAAGGAGTAACTGTCACTACCATGTTCAGGGTGCAAAGGTGTGACCAAAGGCAGGCAGACCCATAGGGAACTTGATGCAGTTAAATGGCTGGAAGATCACGAGAAGCCAACAGTCCAGCAATCCCAAGAAGCAGCAAATCCCCAAGGGAATGCAGAGAAACACGTTGGATGAGGGGAGAACTCGGTGGTACCAGACTCTTGACTGGGGAGACTGAGGGCCTAGCACAGTGACAACAGAGGAGGTTTGGTAAACTCAGATTTTACCACACTGAGTTCAATATTAAACTTATTTCTAAACTCAATAGTAACACCACATTTTTTGTGCCTGTTTTTGTTTTAAGACATGGGGCCTCACTCTGTCACCCAGGCTGAATGCAGTGGCTCAACCCTAGCTAGCTGCAGCCTTGGCCTCCTTGACTCAAGTGATCCTCCTGCCTCAGCCTTCTGAGGAGCTGGGATTTCAGGCACATACCACTGCACCTGGCTATATTTCTTTATGGAGGGACATTTTCTGAGAACAAAACATACTTCATTCACCGCCTTTGAGAGTGAAAGTAAGAAAAAATAAACAGAACAAAAAAACATACTTCACAACTTAGAACACCGTAACTGTTTTTCAAGTAACATAATTATAAGAATTATATGAAGAGTGAAATAAATCTAAATCATCTATTAATTGAGCAAATTACCTTTCAAGCTAGAAATCCATTCGGCAAACATCAGAGTAGTTACTGAAAGCTTACAGCCATGAATCCTGAACTTCTAGGAAAGAACACCAGAAATCATTAGGCACTCCTTCCCACTATACCCCAGACACAAACACCATCTCTGACAGGTTATCCAGACCCACACCACTGCAGAGCAGGCCATCCACATCATTCAGAAAAAGAAATTTCCTGGCCAGATGCGGTGGCTCATGCCTGTAATCCCAGCCCTTTGGGAGGCCAAGGCGGGCAGATCACCTGAGGTCGGGAGTTCAAGACCAGGCTGACAAACATGGAGAAACCCCATCTCTACTAAAAATACAAAATTAGTTAGGCGTGGTGACAGGCACCCATAATCCCAGGTACTTAGGAGGCTGAGGCAGGAGAATCAGTTGAACCCAGGAGGCAGAGGTTGCAGTGAGCCAAGATTATGCCATTGCACTCCAGCCTGGGCAACAGGAGTGAATCTCCATCCACCCTCCCAACAAATAAAAAAGAAATTTCCTTCCACAAACTTGGTGTTAATCAAATCCTCCAATGATGTCAAAGAGAAGCACAGCGACAAGGGAGAAAACCAAAAGACCACCACACTACAGCAGAAAGATATTTATAAATATTCTAACAGCTTTTATTACAATGGTGCAAGGGAGTATTTCATCCAACACTCACCGACAACAAACCATCATCTTCTATAAAACAGCTCCAGAAAGTTCAAACAAAAAAATTAAAAGATACATGATCTGTAGTAATTCTCATACAATACAGTTTAGTGTTCAAACTCCATGTCACTCCAATAAAGTATAATCATTTTCTAGCAAACGTGGCAAAAGAGTTTGCTGTTTTATTTGTTTGCCTATAAACATATCGGAACATGCCTCACAATTAAAAACTCTGGATTACAGCACTCCATGACATCAATATCTATTCGTGCTTAGTATCAGCCAGTTGTACCAAATACCATAAAATACAAAAGGATAGGAAATATAAACATCGATTTGTATTTCAAGTTTAAACATTTTATTTACAAAAATAGGCTGGGAAGAAAAGGGTTTGCGCCCCCACATTCTCTCCTGGTGCACAACGATTTTGTGCCATTTTCTAAGGTTGTTTTCTCTGATGATTTCCAAAGTCACATTTGGATTCCTTCAGAATTGTATTTGTCAGCTAGCAGCTCGAGGAGGAGGAGGAGGAGGAGGAGGAGGAGGAGGAGGAGGAGGAGGAGGAGGAGGAGGAGGAGGAGGAGGAGGAAGAGGAGGAGGAGGAGAAGGAGGAGGAAGAGGAGGTGGAGGAGGAGGGAGAGGAGGTGGAGGAGGAGGAGCAGGAGGAAGAGGAGGAAGAAGAGGAGGAGGAGAAGGAGGAGGAAGAGGAGGTGGAGGAGGAGGAGGAAGAGGAGGTGGAGGAGGAAGAGGAGGAGATGGTGGAGGAGGAGGAAAGGAGGAGGAGGAGAAGCAGGAGGAGGAGGAAAGGAGGAGGAGAAACGTGGGGAAGGAGGGCGGATGAGGGAGGAGGCTGGCAGACAGCGTCGGCACACGGATAAATGGCTTTGACTGAAGGACCGCGCCGCGCCTCATGCACCGGCAATGCAAGCACGCTGCTCCGCAGCAACACCGACGTCACTATTTACAGAACGGCGGCCTTCTCTGGGTTCTGAAGGACACTTGTTCCCCAACGTGACACCATCAGACGACGCTTTCAGGCAGACACTAGGACATGACTCCGAAGACGGGGTTATGGCGGCAGATGCTGGGCCCGTACTCTTCATAGTCCTTCTTGGTGTGGCAGACCTGAAAGAACTCCGGCTACCAGAGGCAACAGGCAGAAGGAGAGAACGCATTTCAGAAAAGGGTCAGCAGAAAGCTGCTACCGCACAGGCAAGACGCTCTTCTCATCCCAGCCTCCACCCTGCCTCACGGGACCACTGCTGGAAGACTTTACCTCTTTGATGGACTGAACTACTAAACGGGGGGTTATTTTACTTTTCAAAAGCTTTGTCAGCCTCTATCTTCTTAGGACCAACCAAATGCTGCTCCCCCACTAACAACGTGTGAGCTATTCACAAATTTGAGGGGGAAAAATAATTATTATTTGGAAAAGTCACTGGAATTAATGATTAATGTGGGATTTTTTTCAGATTATGTTTGGATTCCACTTAGCATGTTATCTGTAACCCCTAATTATCAAGGATACTTGATAAATGTGTTGTGTGATTATTAAGATATAGTTTACATAGGGCCAGGCACATTGGTTCACACCTGTAATCCCAGCACTTTAAGAGGCCAATGCAGGTGGATCACCAGAGGTCAGGAGTACGAGAACAGCCTGGCCAACATGGTGAAACTCCATCTCTACTAAAAACAGAACAAAAAAATTAACCAGATATAGTGGTAGACGGCTATAATCCCAGCTACCTGGGAGGCTGAGGCAGGAGAATTGCTTAAACTCAGGAGGCAGAGGTTGCAGTGAGGCAAGATCACACCACTGCACTCCAACCTGGGCGACAGAGTGAGACAGAGCAAGACTCTGTATCAAAAAGAAAAAAATATATATATATATATAGTTTATATCTACAGAATTGTCTGTTTAGAGTGCACACTATTTCACCTTCATAGACAATATTTGCCCAAACTCAACAGCAAGCACAGGCATGGAAACACAGAGCCCTTGAGAGAGGGACTTACAGTCGAGGCCAGCATGGAGCCTCCGAACCACACTGCATAGCGCTGCATGTGATGCGTGACCACCTGCACCTCCACAGGCTTCGGCTGGAAGAGAAAGCAGCTCTCACTTACTGCACGTGTGCAGACACATCTGCGATCCAGTCACCCTCCAGCTGACCCGACCATGGCCTCACCCAGGGTCACCCTCCACTCAGTGGCACAAGTACAACCTCGCACCCGGCAGTCAGTGACTCTCTGCCTCTGCTGCCAAATCCCCCGCCAGATCTACGACAATTCCAGCCCTGGGGGCTCAAAGGAACACGGTACGCCCCGGCAAGCAGAACCCCCTCTCACAACACTGAGGGCATTAAAGTACAGAAGTACAAAGCAACTAGCCTCACTGATTTTTTTTGACCAAACATTTCATCCCAAATAAGACTGACCATCCCCAAAATACAAAAAGAAGCTATGTTTTCCCAGCAGTGGACTCGTGCACTCTCTTCCTGGACCCCAGCTCCCCTATCCAAGCCCGCTCTTGGTTAGAAGCCCAAGATAATCACCAGCTGCCTGAGAATTACTATCTTGGAGAGACGCCTTGTAACTCCCTGCTAACATTAGTTATTTTCGTTTAATGAGAACATTTCCAGAGAACATGAGAAGATAGATCCTCACCGTAAATCAGAACTATCTCCTGGGGACACTGGTCATTGCGCCCCATGTCGTAAGAGTACGACACAAAAGGCAACTGCTGGCAGGTATGACCAGGAAGACTGTGAAGCTGCTGTGGCTGTGTCACCAGGACCATAGGTCTGAACCACCAGTCTGGAAGGAGCTCCGGTAGCAAACCTCTGTGGTAATGTCACAATGCAGCTCAGAAAGCAACACACATTTGTTTTTCTTTCACATGGCCCAGACAAACTCTGTGTCAGGAAGGCCCGAGTCGGGCCCAGCGCAGAAACCGCCCTCCTCCCCCAGCACCACGTGGAGGCCCCTGGCTCCTACCTTGATCCTCCCGCCGCTGAGCTCCTCACTGAGCCTCAGCCTGGCATCCACTACTCTCTTCAAATCTCGTTGCAGTCGGCGTCCGAAATCCCTGAACATAGTGGAGCCTCCTGAGAGAACGACATTCTACAAGACACAAAGTAGAGGGAGCCTTGGGTAAAATCACCCGCAACAGAACCCCACAGGCCCAGTTGCTTGTGGGCATGACACACCGGCCCTATGAGAGACACAAACAGAAGCAAAGTTAATGCTATTGGAAAAATGTAGATTTCTTCTTTTATGGTGATAACAATGTGTCACAGATGGCTCCTGAATCCTTTCCTCCATTACAGCAAAGTAAAAACAAGGCGATTCTGCTCCCTCACGCTCCCCCTGCCTACCCCTCACAAGGACCAGGAAGCCACAAGTAACAACAGAAACTGTCCAGCTGACTTGAGCCACATGACTACTGGCTCTCCCACTGCTTTGCCTTAACCATCACCAGGGGAAAGTCTTCTAATGGATGCTCGAAGGCTCTTAGAAGGACGATCTTGAAAGAAAGCATCCAAGTTACCCAAAGAAACGTTCTCCAGTGAGCCACCCGGCCAGTACTGCCCTCCAGTGCCAGGACTCACTCAGTGGCCACACAGAAGCTCGGTGTGGGGCTGAGGAAGGGGAAGCACCTGCTTGCTGCGCTTCCTCTGCCCAGAACCTCAACCAGCCCTCTGTCCAGTGTTGTTCATGCTGCCCGCCTGTCAGTCATCCACACCATCAGCTCCTGACCTGCAGCCACTGACATCCTCATGGCTTGATGGCCCAGGTCACTGAAGCAGCCAGTCCTCTTCTGATGCACGTCAGAGGCTACAGTGGCCTAACCTACGTCACTCACCTCTCGCCCTCTCACCATGGGCACTGCATCATCTCATACCCTCACAAGACAAGGAAGGGTGAGTACATACAGTAAGATATTTAGACAGAGAGAGAGACCACATTTATATAACTATTCCTATAGTATATTGTTATAGTAATTATTCTGTTTTATTATTAGTTATTGCTGTTCAAAAGTCTCTTACTGTGCCTAATTTCTAAATTAAACGTGATCATAGGTATGTATGTACAAGAATAAACACAGTATATACAGGATTTGGTACTAGCTGCAGTTTCAGGCACCCACTGGGGGGTCTTGAACCGTATTCCCCACTGACAAGGGGGAATAATATATCTCCGATTTAACTTTCTTAGAGAAAACACCAAATGAGAAAACTACATAAGGAAATTAATCCTTCAAGGTGTCAAAAAGCCCTACTTGCTTTAAGACACTCTAGATATGTTAGCTCTTCCCAAGTTTCTGACCAACTGTAGAACTCTGTTTTTCAGGAACTCCTCCCAGTCAGCTCTGTGTGCGTGAACAGTGAGTCCCTCACCAAGTTTACAAGTAAGGAGAAGTCACAAGGAATCAGTACAGGAAAAAAATCACTTTTCTGTCCCCAGCAACCCAGGTTCTAAGTTGTATGGTGTGAAAGCAGTCCACTCCTGCTTATCGCTGTCCGGAGGAAAGACAGCCAGGACGGAGTGCACAGGGGTCATTTTTCTCTCATGCCAACTCCTAGAACTGCTGTGACAGCACTCACGTAGACTCAGGATTAGATAACTGAAGTCAGTGCAGGAAGAATGAAAGGGGGCAGGAGCCATGGGAAGTTACCAGGGACCTGGCCTTCCACCTGGAGAAGCCACCGGGGACCTGGCCTTCCATCTGGGGAAGCCACCGGGGACCTGGCCTTCTACCTGGGGAAGCCACCGGGGACCTGGCCTTCCACCTGGGGAAGCCACCGGGGACCTGGCCTTCCACCTGGGGAAGCCACCGGGGACCTGGCCTTCCACCTGGGGAAGCCACCGGGGACCTGGCCTTCCACTTGGGGAAGCCACCGGGGACCTGGCCTTCCACCTGGGATCTGCCCCAATCCTACCCTGAGTGTCTGTAAAAAGAAATTTCACCTCTGATTACCTACCAACAGCAGATGTTTCATAAATCATCTAACATGCTGTAGCTGCTCAGCTTCTAAGGTGAAAAGGCCGTCAGGGGCTAAAGAAGCTGTGTCCAAAGCTGTGTCCAACCCTTTGAATCCAACAACATTTTTGTTTATCTGTAGTGAATATGAAAAAAATTATGCACAGGACCTTTTTATTAGCTTGCCAGCTGTCAATAGCGTTAGTGTATTTTATGTGTAGCCCAAGACAATTCCTCTTCTAATGTGGCCCAGGAAGGCTAAAAGGTTGGACACCCCTGAGCTAAAGCTTCTACAGTGGCTTGGCCGGGGACAGAGCCATGGGAAACCATCAACAAGTGGCTATCTGTGGTCTCACCAAACTGTGCCACAATTTTTTTTATCAGCTTCGAGAATCTTAAGTCATACATATATGCATGTATTTCAAGACAGAGTCTCACTCTGTCATCAAGGCTGGAGTGCAGTGGTGTGATCTCGCCTCACTACAACCTCTGCCTCCCGAGTTCAAGCAATTTTCCTGCCTCAGCCTCCCAAGTAGCTGGGATTACAGGTGCCCGCCACTACGCCCAGCTAATTTTTTGTACTTTTAGTAAAGAAGGGGTTTCATCATGTTGACCAGACTGGTCTCGAACTCCTAACCTCATGATTCATCCACTTCAGCCTCCCAAAGTGCTAGGATTACAGGTGTGAGCCACCACGCCCGACCAAGTGTAATATGTTTATGGGAAGAGCTGGGCTTGGCCTTCAGGGACAGGAACCAAGGTGGTTCTGAGGCCACCTTTCCTCAGAGGGCTCTCTGCAGCAGTGAGAGATCTCCTGGAACCTACCACCCCGCCCCACTCCTGGTGCCTGACCCCCACTTCTCACAGGGAACAGCCCTGAACACAGCAGACCCTCTGTAAGACCCCCGCCTTACAGAGACTATCTGATAATGAACACACTGGATAAAATTCCTGGCAACGGTTCTCTGCCACCAGAATTGTGCAGTCTGTCCTCATCTGGGGGTTTCATTGCTACAAGCTTGTTTGCTTTCTTAAAACTCTGTGGGCATGGCCAACCGAGGAAAGTGCTGTCACGTCCATTTCTCAAGAGGTGACCCCAACAACCCTGGCCACACGGATACTATGAGGTAACTGAGCACCTGTCTTGACAAATTTTAAGTCTAGTTTTCAAGCCAACATCCTGTCCCAGGATCAGCACCATGAATAATCACTGTTGTCCTCTATCACCTTGTGGAGAAATCTCTCATGACCAACCTGAGGGTGCCTGGCTCCTGTCACAGTCTAGGGACCATCAATCACAGCGGCAGCTATGGGAACGCTGAACTCAGGGAGCTCCTAGTTAACAACACTCAGGTAACATGTCACCAAAAGGTGAGGACTGGCGGGAACGAGTCCCTGGCAGGGTGGCAGCCTGATATCACATAAACAGGGTTATATTCTGATCCCTGGCTTCCTTCAGATGGGTCTCATGGCCTGGTGACTCTTTCAGGCACACTGCATACCAGTTACCATCATATTAAGAATCATAACTTAAAAGCATTCTTGATATTTTGATCAGCTCACCTGAGAATAAGCCTCGACTGACCCCTGCTCCTGCTCTCCAGTTACTGGCCACACTGGCTGACGATGTCTAGAGAGACAGACCCTGGCCTATATCCAATAAGAATTAAATGGGGACTGAGGAAGAGCAAGGATGGGCCAGTGCCTGAAATCAGACATTCTAAGGGTACTTTTGCTGAGGTTTCTGGTTTTGCCTTTTTGTTCTTTTGCTATTGTTTTTTGTTTGCTTTTTAAAGCCCACTGCAGAAACTGCTTTAGAACTTTTCCAGGCTAAGATTCCTACAGCCTCGCTCTCTGCTTGGTCTCCTCAGAGCCCATATGTCAAGCGATCCCAGTGTTCCAAGGAAGCCTGGGGTGTCAGAACTCTCCCTTGGCCCACCACAGTGCAGCAGAGGAGTCCGGGCCAGGTTCCTTGACTGTCACCCTAGACTTGGTGAGCTTATCCTTCCCTCAGACAATGGTCAAAGGAACGAGTCTGCTTCTAACTGTGACACCCAATGCCCAACACAGCACCATGGGCACACCTGCTGCCTCATCTCAAAATTCTGTGCTGTTGTTATTTGGAAGAATAGTATGAGGGGTATATAGTCCATTCACACCTCTAAGTCTTCTAAATGATCCAAAAGTACCAGGGGAATGTTCCCTGTCTGCTTGGCATTCTTTCCATATTCACCCGGAGGACTGTCTCCCCTCTGAACTTGCACCTCGAGCCATTGGAAGATACGGCAGGAGGAAACGCACGTCATTATCCACATAGGGATGGGTGAGGAAGGTGTTCTCAGTGAGGGTCTAAAGAAGACATTTCTCTCAGCTCTCAGCGTCAGAAAAAGCTGGCCTCTTAGGAAAACCCACTGGTCTTAATCATATGTCCCATGAGCCCTGTGCCTTCCATTACAGATTGGGTTCGCCTCTTTTCCCTGGCTGCTGAGAAGCTGAGAGCCAGGAGGGGCCTCTCCCACGGCTAGGCACAACCACAGAACGGTGTGCAAAGGCTCTGTCCTCGTCCGACCCTGCTGCGCTATCTCCCACCCTCGCTTCTCCTTACCAAGTTTCTTTCAGCTACTTCATCCTTGAGTATTGGATATACTTTCCTGCCTGCTTCAAATTTTCCACACTAGAAGGCAGGCAGGCATGCAGGCAGGAGCGGGCAGGGGTGCGAGTTTCTAAGGGCAGGCAAATAGGAGAGCTGAAGCCCAGTTGCACTATCTTCAGGCAAAATACAGTTAATCATTCAAGGAGTTCACGAAAGGATGCTGGCTCCTCATTTTGACCTCCTTTCTTCCTTCAGTAATTGAAGGACAAACCTCAAAAGCCTAAGTATCCCTGTGATTGGCAGCAGACATCCCACAGCATTCAGCAAGCATTTGAGTTAAAGGCGCTAAACTGGCAGGGTGGCTCATGCCTGTCATCCCAGCACTGTGGGAGGCCAAGGCGGGCGGATCACCTGAGGGCAGGAGTTCAAGACCAGCCTGGCCAACATGGAGAAACCCCATCTCTACCAACATATAAAATTAGCCAGGTGTAATGGCGTATGCCTACAATCCCAGTTACTTGGGAGGCTGAGGCAGGAGAATCGCTT